GGGTGTGGAACTTCCTACTGGGTTTTTTTGTCTTTGTTTTTTTTTCCCTGTTTTTTTTTTTTTTTTTTTTTTTTTTAAAGTGGTTTGTTAATATTCATTGAAAATACTGTATAGTTTAACTTGATGTCATACTGGATCTTTTAAAAAAAGAAGTGATGACTTGGATTTTTAAAAGGCTTTTTGTTTCTAGATAGCTGTTTTTTGCTGTTTAATATGTAGTAAATTCAGTGTATGCTTTACCGTAGGAGTAAAAATGAGGAGTAAAACCAAGGAAGGCTAATCCTGTCTTTACAGAAGGGCTTGGTGGGGACGGAGGCTGTGAGCATGGGACTGGGGCCAGATGGGGAGTGTGGCCTCGGGGGCTTTTGTGGCTGTTTTTCTTTCTGAGGCAGCTGCTGGCTAGAGGAGGGGTTTGGAGAAATGGCTAGCGTGGCCCCCGAAGAGCTGTGCCCTGCTCTCTCCCCTCCCTGGGTGGCTGGACATCCTCAGGTGCTTGTGGCAGAGGAGGATGGTGGTGGGTCCTGGACATGGCTCCACACCATGTGCTGGCCACAGAGCTGCCAGGTCCTGTCCCCTTGGTACCAGCTGGGCACAGAGACCGGTCCGGGAGGTGTATCCCTCATGTTGGGAAAGCCCTTGGTATCCCAGCAAGGAGCTCTGGCTCTGCTTAGGATGTGACAACAGCCAAGCAGCACCTTGGGCAGAGAAAGCATCATCAGGACTGTGTGCCAGGGGAAGAGGGGGTGCCATGGGGAGCTCAGTGGGGACCAGCACAGGTCCAGGTCATCATCATCAGCCGTTGCCTGTGAGAAGGTGCCTCCAGGTTGGAAAATGTCTTGATGTGTAATTAGAGAATCGTTAAGTAGGACTGGCTGTGGGCCTGTGGTGACTCGGTCTCTTCATCTCATTTGCTGTCATGCAACAGCCCAAATCCAGTAGAAGCCTATGGTGGCTTCTGTTGCCAGACCTCATTGCTGGTGGGTGGAGGACCTGTGCAGAGCAAGTGGCTGAGTGGCCGCCGAGAGTCTTGGGTGTGTTTTTATAGGGAGACTATCTGGTTGGAAGTACCTGTGTTTTGTACCTGGGGGAGTAGATCAATCTCCATCACTGCCTTTGGGTCACGTTCTGTAGTGTGAGGTGAGAGGTGATGGAAACACCAGGAAGCCCGTGGGTGTCAGGAGCGTGGTGCTGGGTGGGGAGGCAGGGGCTGGCCTGAGGGGCCCATGGATGTCTCCTGGGAGTTACACCATGAAGGGCTCTCTCCTAACTGCTGGTTTTTCCTTTGCAAACCAAAGAGCAGTTGTGGCCAAAGCCTCTTGGGAGTAAAACGTGTTTCTACTCTGTCCCTGTGTTGCACTTCCCTGCTGGCATTTCTTACAAGACACTTTTGGACGTCTTCATGCTGCCTCTGCTTGGCCTCTCGCCTCACTCACCACCCCACAGCACCCAAAAGGGTTGCCATGCTGGAGATGGTGTTGCATCATCCCCTGTGGCAAGTGCTCACACATGTCTTCAAGAACTGCTTGCCTGAGGATGCTCTGTAGGCTGGAGTAGGGAATGGTCCCTCCAAAGGGCCATTCTCTTTGGCAGGCAGCTTGAGTATAGGATGCTGCTGGGGAGGCGGCAGGGAGACTTAGGCTGGCTGGAGGTGGTGGAGATGTTGTCCAGGAGATAAATCCTGCTCTAGTGCTGCTGTTCTTCTAGCTTCCTGCATCCAGGAAGAAGCTAGTCTCTTACCTGGGCTTTTTTCCCCATCTTCATTTCCCCTCACCCTACCTACAAGATGCCTTTAGCTGTGTCCCAGCCCCTTCCCCTCCATGGCTCTTTTGCTTATACTTTTATAAGACCTTCTACTTCTTTGCCTTTTTTTTTCACTTCTCATTTGTAAGCAGCGGTTTGGTTTTCATCCCTTTTTCCATTTTGATTGATTCTCCCCTCTCCCCTCTCCTCCCCCCACATCCCCATTTTCTCTCCTGGGCTGGGTCCAGGTGGTACCAAAACACTGTTGATGAGGTCAGGTGTTTGGCACCTGAATCTTGCTGGAATTCAGTGGGTGCTTCTGGTCCTTCCCCTCATGAGACTGTCCGTCTCGCTGGGCACAGCGTTACCTGTGGCCTGGCACCTTGGCTCAGCCAAGTCGTGTCCATGGTACAGCTGGCTCTGGCAAGGGAGTCTGAGCCAGGACCAGGAGCCAGAGCAGATCTGTAGCAAACGGACACTGGGGTGACAGTGGCCATTTCCGTGGTGGGTCCCTTTGGCACGTCTCCTGGGGGCTGAGTCAGTGAAGGGCTGTCAGATGTTCCTGGGAGAAGTGGTGGCACTGGGCTAGGGTCAGGCTGCTCAGTTCCCCGGGAATGCCTGTGGAGCAGCTGTGTGCCAAGTGAGCCGTGGTGTGGACACCCCCGGGACCATGGGTATGCCCAGGTGGCCCTGCCAGCTCTCAGGGGAGCAGATGCCATTTCCAAATGAATAGCTTGGTGGTAAGACGTGTGTGCTCTGGTCTTGGGGCCCACGCACTGGAGCAGGCGGCAAGGGGGAAAGTGTCATCTCACAGTGATTTGGGACCATCTCTGGGTGCTCGAGCCTGGCCTTCCACTGCTTGGAGGGAGGAGAGCACTTTCTATGCTTCCCTTGGATATTTACCATCAAGTTCAGGCTGTAGCCGGAGCCTGGCTATTAATAATAAGCAAAAAAACCACCTTGTTATTCTTCCTCTGTTGGGTGGTGAGTTCATGTGCAGGAAGGTTCCTGCATACGCAGGCATAATGCTGAGATGCAATAACAGCAGCCTGGCCAGGTTTGGGGACAGTGGCTCACCCCCAGGCCCTGGCGACCCCGGCTTCTCCCCAGCTGCCTCTGCAGCATCTCCTGGCAGCCGCCTCTGCTGCTTGCTGGATGTGAAGATGCTGCTTTTGCAGCATGTCCAGGGTGCTCGGCAGGGAGGCAGCTGGACCGTGGGCTTGTCTCCAAATGCCTCCAGGCCTTGGGTCCAAGGGATTTCATGGCTGATGAGGTTCTCAGGCTCCTCCCAACCTGCACTCGTGCCTCTGGCAGAGTTCCCAGGGCTGTGGGAAATTGCAGCCAAGGATGATGAGGTTTGTGTGGCTTGCAGTGCCTTTAACACTGCTCTCCGTGTGTTTCTAAGATGATACTCCATGTATGTGTGTATATATATTGTATTAACACATCCTGCTCTTCTGTGTGAGTGTCAAATGGTTTTGCTTTACTAATAAATTTATAGTTATTTATACCTTCCTGTGGGTGTGTAAGATTTCTGGAGTGGGGGCCGTGTGCCACACACTGCCTCCCCTGTCTGTCTTTGTGCTCTGTCTGGCTCTGCTTGATTTTTTTATTTTTTTTTTTTTTTCATTTTTCTTTCCCCTGAAATTTTTTGATGGAGAAATGATAGTTCATCTGCCTGGTAACCAGAAATTAAGACACAGGGTATAGGCAGGCTCCCAGGGACCAAAAGCAAACGCAAGCAGAGTCTGCAGTTTGGTTTTGCCCCTTGCTAGCTGGGGACTGCTCCCTCCTCGGAGCACAGCTTGCTGCTGGGGCTTCACAGCAGAAGCAGGCAGGGTTCTCTGCCTGCCAGAAAGGAGGCAGAAGCTGATTCATTTTGTGCTATGAGGACCTCAACCCCACACATGACTGTTTCAGCTTTCCCAATGTTTGTTTTTTGTTTTTTTTTTTTGCATCCCCCCTGTCCTGTGATGGAAAGAGAGGAGCCTGCTATGTGCAGACGACCTGACTTGCTCTATCCCACACCCAAGCCAAGTGGCATGTGCCTTTGTCTCCAAATCACTGCGAAAACACTTCTGGCTGAAGGTTTGGGGATGGGATGCAAAAATGGGAAACTGAGGCAAGAGTGGGGACAGCCAGTCATCTAGGATCCTGGGGCTGGGAGACATCTGGGCATTCCTTCTCAGCTAGCTGCTCCATTCAGAGCTTTTTAAATTACGGTGGAGAGCTGTTGGGGAGGAGGAGGAGGAGGGATGACCGTGTCAGGCAGGAAACCCTTCCCTGATGCTGATATCAGGTCACCAGTCCCTCTGTGGCAGCTGGGCTGAGCGTGTTGGTGCCACACAGCAGGATCGTGCCCAGTTTGTCTCCAAGGAGGAGACAGAAGGACGATACCTTTCACAGCTGCCTTAAGTTCTTATTTGGGGCTGGATGATTTCCATCAGGAGATAAACAGTTAAACCGCAGCCAGCAGTGCTAAGCTGTGCCCGTGTTTGAACTTTGGGGTTTGAGGAAATACTCCGTATCCTCAGGGCAGGCAAGCAAACTGCATCGGCACCACTGGTTGCACAGGCTTTTACTTTCTCATCTTTGGTTTCCCTAGATCACAGCAAAGCTGCATAATTTTTGCACGTGCCAGAATTCCAGGCTCAGGCTGAGGGAGGACCAGGAGCAGCAACCTCTCAGCACCTTATAAAGAACCCCTGAAGGTCTGGTTGCTTTTCCAGAAGACCTTACCTGCATGGCAGCTATTTTCCATGCAGGTATCGCCACCAATCCCTCCTGCCTTACCCCTCGCACATAAAAGCTAAGGACAGAAATGAAAGGTCAGCAGAAGTAGATGGAAAGTAGTTCTCAAGCAAATGTGCCAGAAGTGCTGGCAGCATGGCCCAGGTGAGGAATGGAACCTTCCCCTTCCTCCCCAGGATTCTTCCTGGGCATTCTCTCGCAGAAATAAGTCAAAGACCTTTGTAGGCAGGTCTGGCTCAAAGACAAAGTGTTTCCAGAGGAGATGCAGGTTTAATCATCAGCAGATGCTGCTTTTTTGAACCCCTCGCTGCAGGATCGACTTGATGATCTCGGAGGTCCCTTCCAACCACTAAGATTTCACGAGCCTGAGTGTGCAAAAGTCCACTTGAAACTGTCCCTGTGTTGCTTTGCTCTTTCAGGCAACATTGTCTTCTCAGGTGGGACTTGGGCAAGGCTGTTCCCCAGGGGACTGCAGGATTCAAGCCTGTGCCACTTCCACTGCCGATGCTGCTGGAGGGACAAGTCGATTTAACACCGAGCCTGTCCAGGAGCCACTGCTGCTCCCCAGGAGCTTGCACGTGGGGCTGTTGGCCCCACTGCAGCTTGCTCCCTTCACGGGGGTGGTTTTTCCTGCTGATCCAGTGTTTTCTAGGCAGCAGCCCTCATTCCCTGCTTTCAGAACTGAGGCTCCCCTGCATCCCCCAGCCCCAGCGCAGGAGTCAGCATCCATCCCACAGCAGGGAGCAGAGGGTTTGCCCCCTGGCAGGAAGGTGCACATTTGGGGCAGCTGAAGCTCCCAACAGATAAAACTGAGATTATTTTTTTTTGGGGTGCTTGACCATCTCTTGCCCCAGCGCTCAGCACCCCCAGACCCTGCAGCCTGATGATGGAGGCAGCATCCCAGTGGTAGCCATCTCTGGGCTCATCCTGCTTCCCGGGTCAGGCTGGACCAGGGAGAAGCAGCAGTGGCCTGTCTGCTCCGTGTGATATGTGTACAGGGACGCAGCTTGCCTCACTTGCCCCTTAGCACCACTGGCCAGGGCTGCCTGGCCTGGGGTGGGAGCCCTGAGTTCCTCTCCTGGCCACCATGGAGGGTTTGCTGCTGATTCCCACTGACTCTGGGACAGCTCTGCTGGTCAGAGTCATGGGAGCAAAGCGAGGAGAGCTGAGGCTGGGTAAAGGCTTTGGTAGCCACGAGGCCCGGGAAAGCACCTTTGATTCATGTTTCTGCCATTAAAATTAGTGGCTAATGCTGAGGGCAAAGCAGTCATCACTCTGCTTCAGAGTGAACGATATCTTAGAAATACAGGAATGCCTTTTGGTTGGCTTCCCTGGGCCTGGCAGGTGGGGCACAGGGTGTGATACGGGTGACCACTGCTGTGTGCCTCAGTTTCCCTGGCTGGGAACCAGAGCTGCAGAGGTGCTGAGCTGGGGCCAGGCAGGACGGGTACTTGTTGCTCACCAGGCTGGGGACGCCCGTGGTGCTAGGAGAGGAGGAATCAAGCCAGGGGTGCTGTTCTGGACAGAAACAGAAGCTGGGGCTGGGCATCGCACAGTGAAGCTGTGCTGATCCCAGGGTGTGATGGCAGCCGAGGTTAGGGGCGATGGGAAGGGCTGGCAGTCACACAGGGCCGGAGCTAAATGGATCAGGCAGTGATTGGCACACTCAGCAAGGCTTAGCTCAGCCCGGCACAGATTTGCTGCCCACTGCCCCAGATCCTCCAGGGTCAGGGCAGAGCTGAAGGTGGAGCATCCCTGGACACATCACCCTCCTGTCACCCTGCGGGGTTTCAGCAGCTCCACTGCTCTTTGTCTGAAAATCCCTGCACCCGCCTGTGCCTGGGCAAGACATCACCCTTCCCCGCAGCTCCGCCGCGCTTGAACCCAGCCAGTGAGTGCCTGGGGCAGCTCTGGTGGCTGCAGGGATTTTGAGGATGCTCAAACCTGCTCGGTTTGGGGGTTTTCTTTGCGCTATCCTGCACCAAAACCCGGCTGGCTACTGGGAGCTGGGGCATTTGGGACAGCTGAGTGCTGATAATCCCATTTGCGGGCAGTACTGAGCTAATCCTCGCAGAGCCCTGAGCGGATTGAGATGGGTCTGGGGGGTCAGTGGGAAGCTGCAGTAGCCAAGGGAGCCTGTACATCCAGGGGGTGGCTTCCCAGGGAGGTGGCAGTGAGCGCCTGGGGGTAAGTGGCAGCGACGGAGGTGAGGGACACAGCTGGGGTTTCTGTGGGACCAACTCTGCACCTGGCAGGGGGGGTTTGGTGCTCCAAAACAGAGCTGGAGGCTGAGCCACAGTGGGGGTGCAGGTCCGTGGCGGGGGAGCGATGGAGCAGGTCCACGATGCTGCAAGGCCAATGGAGCTGCATGATCTAGAAGAGTTTGGTCTGGTGCTGGAGGGGAGGGAAGAGCTGGGACTCTTTAGTTGGGAGAAGAGAAGGCTGAGGGGAGACCTTATTAATGCCTACAAGTATCTCAAGGGTGGGCTGAGGGAGGAGGGAACCAGACTCTTTTCAGTAGTTGCCAGTGAGAGGACAAGGGGCAACGGGCACAAGCTGGAACATAAAGGGTTCCACTTGAATATGAGGAAGAACTTTTTCACGGTGAGGGTGAGGGAGCCCTGAAACAGGCTGCCCAGGGAGGGTGTGGAGTCCCCTTCTTTGGAGATTTTCAAGACCCTCCTGGATGCTCCTGAGTAACATGCTCTGACATGCTCTGGATGGTCCTGCTTTAGCAGGGGAGTTGGACTAGATGATCTCTATGGTCCCTTCCAACTCTAAAAATTCAGTGAAATTCAGTGAAAGGCTGTGGTGCTCCATGCTCTGAATAGGGATGGCGGGTCCGTGCTCAGCTTCTTGCTCTCAGAGACTGGGGCCCTTTACCTGCTGGCATGAGTCCCATGGAGCTGCCACAGTGGGTGGTGGCACTAGCTGGTGCCTGCAACATGGAGGGTTGCAATGGGTACCATTGCAGGCAAATCCTGGCTGCTTATTCCTATTTCTTCCAGCAACTACTTTTTGGAGGACCCATAAATGTTGCTGCTCCTCTCTTATTTGGATGTGCCAGAGGAATGGCCCCAGCCCTCCACTTCCTTTCCCGGGTCAAGGAAAGGCTTAAGCTCCAGGCTTTTATAGCTGTGCAAGCTTATGTTGAGGGAGGAGGAGACCTTGGCTGTCACAGGGGGCTCGCTCCAGCCCCGGGGGTCTTTCTCAGGGCTTCTTTGGGCTCATTGGGCTTATTTGGGACCTCTGAAGGTCCTGAAGCACGGGTGGAAATGTCACTGTGCCACACGGTGCTGCTGGGTTTTCATTGCTGTTCCTGGGTCATTCACAGCTCCTTAATCCCTTGTACCCAGTAGGAGGCAAAAGGCAATTTCTTAATTGGTTTCTGGTCACCAGGACTCCTGGGAGGTGTTTTACAGCCACCCTGTCCGGCTCTGGGAACATGGGGGTCTCTGAGAGAGCTGAGTCTGCCCATGGTGTGAGGAGGTGCTGCGTGGGGTGATGCTTTGGCTGCACCCAAACCCAGCTCATGGGCTTCCACAAGGGGGCAAGCAAAGAGCTGAGGATGCATGTCACCCCACCTGGGGACCTGGGCTGGTTGAGATTGAAGATGCCAGGTTTTGGGCAAGAGCCCGGCGCTGAGCAGCTTCCAGCCTATAACCTGCTGCTCTCTGGGACTGGGGCCATGCGCTAACCCGGGATGAAAACTCCCCTGCACTCTCCCAGCAGGGCTGGATGGAGCTCAGGGGTCTGCTTTCCCTTGCCCTTCACGGGCACGTCCTACCAGCAGCAGCGTGGGGGCCGCCCAAGGAACTTCTGAGCCCTTCCTTGAGCTGCGGTCTTTGGAAGGGCATTTTGGGCAGAGCAGGGCTTTTTGGAGGGGCAGCAGCTGAAGACATCCCAAGTTTGAGCTGGGTGAGAGCCCCCAGCCCTTGTTCTGTACCCAAGCTTGGGAACATGCAGCATCACTCAGCTCGCTGGTGCTGCGCCCCAGCCCAGAGTTGCACTGAGAAAGGATGGGGGGGACCCAAAAAGACCAAGCAAACAGAGCTTGAACAGCTGAATCCCAGTGTTTACCTACTCCTTCACTATCTCGGCAGCCACAGCAAGTCAGTGCTGGCTGCCTTTATTGCCCTCTCCAGGGCCTCAGGCAGGTGCCCACCCCAGTGGCCACTGTGGCCCTGGGCCATGTCTGCAAGGTAATGGAGCAGAGTTGTTTCCTAGGGGCACAAAGAGTTGATACCTGTTGGGCATGAACTTGCTCATAAACAAATTCCACACAAATTACTGTTGTTTTTCAGCCCTCAAATGAAAAGAGCATAGAGGACCCTGAGCAGAGCATCACAATTTCTGTGATCTATCTGCCATGGCTTCATGAGCGCTTCTTGTGTGACACCCTAGCCATGGAGGGCTGTGAAAAAAAAAACACCATATCAGTGGCTGCATTTAGGAAAAGCAAGTTTAACTGAGCCTGCAAGCTTAAAATAAAGGTTGTAGTTTGCTCACAGTAACAGTGATGTGTCAAGGTCTGAGCTGTGTTTGGTCTGGCTGTATGGCAGTGCTGTATCTCCCAAGCAGGACATAGAAACAGAAGGACACCAAGGACCATTTTGGGCTTCCCCAGAGACAACGTGAACGTCCGCTGCAGCTGGTATTCCCTGGGCAGTGTGCCCCACTGCTGCTGGCCCCTCACCAACCGGAGAACCCTCCTCACCACCCACAGTTGGAGGGATGCTGGGCTGGATCGAGCGGGTGGTTCCCCAGCCCCCAGCGCCCCATCTGACGGAGGAGACACCCCTGGGCCCAGTGCAGGACCCGGAGCTGGCTAAGGTGAGTGGGGTGCTAGTTTGCAGGGCACTGGGGCCCTGTGAGCTCAGTGGGGAGATGCCAGGTGCCTCTGCATCCAGCTCCAGTACTGCGGCACCCAGAGATGGAGCATCTCCCCGGGAGGGATGGGGGCCAGGATGCGTCTCCCCCTCTGAGCTGCTGGGAGGCAGCAGGAAGGATGAGTTGTCCCTGGGGTTTGCAGTTGCCTTTGACCGGGGGGACACTGTCCTCTGCACCTCACGCTCTGACATTTTCTGCCTTTTACCCTGAAGGCAACGATGGGAAAGGCCAGTGGCCCCGGGGATGCTGCTGACCACACACACACTGAGGGTAAGCCCCCATGGCTCGGGCAGCAGCTCAGCATTCCTTTACTGGCTGGTCCTCCTCCTGCCCAGCACACTGGGGGCTGGTGGAGCAGTAATGGGAGCTTTCTTTTCTTTTTTTTCCTGCTACCATTGAAGACATGGAAAAGAAGGTGGGATTTGCGGTCCCCGAGGACCCAGGCTCTGTGTTTGAGAGGTATTGCACTTCCACCCTCCAGTGTGCAACAGGGTTTGCTTGGGATTTTGCTTTCAGTTGGGGACTGGATGCCTGGGATGGGGGGGTCCCAGCCTGACTCACTCCCTTCCCTGGCAGCGTGGGGAGCAGTGTGCTCTCCTGGCTCTCTCAGGGTCTGGAGAAGGTGATTCCCCAGCCAGTCCCGGCCCCAGGGATGCTGCAGGCGCTCGGGAAGAGCTTTGAGACAAGCATCGATGTTCCCGATCAGGTAGGTGACAGATCTGAGCAACGGTCTGGCGTGTTTGGGCTTCTAACTCTTTTTACCTTTTCTTTTGCTTATCTTTTTCTTCCTATCACTCTTCCAGTGCTAACTGGGAGTGCTAAACCTGCCCTGTGTGGGCTTCTGCCTTCATCCATCCCTGGGGAAAGGGCAGGTTTCCCTCCCTGCCCAGAGGGATGAGCCCCCCCCGGGCTCCCAAGCAAGTTATGATCTGTTTTGCTTTTCAGACGGAGGTCCAGGTCCTCAAGGATGAGGAAGAGGATGCTCTGGGTAAGGAGAGCTGGGGGCCTTTCTGGGACTCCTGCATCCCACATCCTACCTACCCCATCATTGATGCTGGTGCTGTTGGCCCCTTGAGCCAGCTGATGGGGGGACCAGGAGCTCCCAGCAGTGCAGGTCCTGGTGCTCCCCCAATCCTACAGCCCAGATCTCCTTGCAGAGATAACTCCCTTTGATCCTGAGGAGGATGAGCTGGATGGCTGCGGGTCTGAGGCTGGCTTGGATACGGTGACAGAGGAATGGTGGGTCCCTGGGGAGGCTGGCAGGGGGATGCCAGAGGGAAGGAGGGGTGCAGGATGAGCTCCCCAACCATGTTCTCCTAGGGCAGGAGCACGGGTGCTCGGCTGGCTGGTGCAGGGCTTCGAGAGGATCGTGCCACAGCCAGAGATGCTGAAAAAGCCGGAGGTGAGTACCGCCCGACTGGGGAAGACAGGGGGCTGCCGGGCAGAGGTGACAGTGCAGTGGGCTCCCCATTCTCTCGCATGATCTGACTGGGACCTTGGAGAGGAAAGCCCCGGGGGAATTCAGCAGAGTGAAAGAAAGACCTTGGGGTGCTGTCCTGGTGCTCCCTGACCTGCCTGCATGCCGGGGGCACCCTCCATTTGGTGCTGGTGCCAGCAATGCCACTGGGGTCTGGCTTTAATGGTCCTTGTCAATGAAATGGAGGGGAAACTGCAATGGAGGGTGTGTGGGGTTAAGCTTGGGTCCCCTTGGGGTGGGGGACATACCTGCCCAGGGTGATGTGGGGCTGCAGACCATCCATCCATCTGTCCATCCATCCGTCCGTCCGTCCCTCTCTCCCTCTGTTCCTCTGCAGCCGGAGCCGAAGGAGCAGAAATGCGAAGCTGTGGCAGGAGGTGAGTGATCCCCCTTCCCTGGGTGGCCCTTTCAGAGGGGACGCTCTGCTGCTGCCAAGAAGCTGGGTGCCTGCAACGTTGGGGTGGCCCTCTATCCCTGTGCCCCGAGGTACTGACTGCCCAGAGGGGTGGGCATGCCAGGTCCTGGCATCACAGCACTGCCCCTACACCACGTCTGTCCCCAAGCCGCCTGCGTCCTCATCCCAGGCTGGGTCCCTGGGGGAGAAGTTGCCAGGGAGATCCCCCAAGCCTGTCCCTCTGTGGGAAGTGACCTTTCCTAGTTTGCTTCCCTTCCCCAAAAATGTCTAAGATGATCAGTGCGTTGCTTATTCCCCTTCTCCTTCCAAATAAAACTGAGCAGGCACAAAAGGGACTAAAACCCAGGCAAAGTCAAAAAGCAGCATTCCAGCCACTCAGAGTATCCCAGGAACAGCAGAGCCAGCAGTCGCCGAGAGGCAGCCAGAGCAGGTGGCCACCTTCATCCCCCGGTCCCTGGCCGGGGACGGCAGCAGGTAACTGCAGTGGCAACTTCTGCCTGGGTACCGTGGCCAGAGGGACAACTGATGTGGGATCCAAGGCTCTGGCAGCCAGGTCTAACAGTGTTTTCTGGTCACTAGGATGTTTGCCTGGTTTGTTCAGGGACTGGAGAAGGTGATGCCACAGCCAGTGACCAGGGAGAAGCAGGACACACAGGTATGCTGTCTGTTGGGTAGGCAAAGGCGCATGAACGTCTCATCCCTGGTGGGGAGGGCGTCCCCTGCTGTGCAAATGCCACCAGGTCAGTGCTGGGATCTGTGCTGTCACCCAGCTCCTTCCAGAAAGCAAATCCCCATGACCTGCTTAGCTGATGAAAAGCAGGATTTGGCCTCTAAGCAGCAAGATAGCTCCTAGCCTGTGTTTTCTGTGCCACTTCCTTGCTTTTCTGTGTGGCACCAGGTGGTGTCCAAGCCCTGGCATCTCACCCAGGTGCAGTCCAGCTCTAAGGAGAAGCAGCAACAGCATCCTTCCCTTCCCTTGCACCTAGGCAAGCTCGCTGGCGTGCTCCTGCCCTTTAGTGTTGTGTTGGGATGCTCATGCCCACAGCCAAGCCATCGGATCTGCCCTTAGAAATCACATGGGCTATTTAGGGTAAAAGGGACATATTTACTGAAAATGGGCATTTAGGGTAAAAATTTAGGTTTACTGAAAATGGACAACTTCTCATGTTTCCCTTTTCCTCCTGCCAGGGAGTGGCAGCAGCAACCTGGAGTCCTGTGGAAGAAAGTAAGTGGTTGTTCCATCTCACCATGCCGGTTAGCTTGCCAAAGTCAGGAAGTGGTTATTGGGATGAGGAGTCACTGGTGGCCTGGTCTGCTGCGGGTGCCAGCTGGGGAGCCCCTGAAATCCCCCGGGAAGCCGTGAGAGGCTGTTGCCACTTGAGAAGCAGGAGCAGACCCAGGGTTGTGGCACAGGCTTGGTAAAGCTCAGACTTTGGAAATGTCTCTGAATGCAGCACCCCACATCCTCGGCTCCTGGGTTCTGAGGTTAGAACTGATCAAGGTCTGTCCTCGAGCTGTGCTGGAATATGTTTGCCAAGCTGGTGAGATTTGATCAAAGGATTACAAGGGAATTCAAACCTGCTGCCTTCATCACCCCCATTGGCATGTCTGCTGCTGAGTTGGAGGGTGCTTGCCAAGCCCGGTGCCTAGGGAGGTACCTTGGGAAAACAAAATCCTGGGATTAGATGTGTTAGATGTGAGTCTCCATGGGTGTAGGAAAACATTGTGGGGTTCATACTGCTGCTTGCCTGCCCATGGAGGGGGACGAGGGACAGCTGGGATGGGTTCCCCATGCCAGCCATGTTGCAGGATGCTGAGCAAAACAGGTAACCCGGCCGGCTGGCTGCCTCCAGGGATGGCACTGAGCAGGGGAGATGCCACAGCCCTGTGTAAGTGCCATCCCTGGGAAGGAGTGGTTGGTCGGGCTGTGAGAGCTGCCAATGGGAGCAGGGACCCACTGGGGAGGCTGTGCATCCCTCCAGGGATGTGCCAGGAGCCAGCAGCTGCTTGGTGAGATCTTGGGGTGGGAAACCCTGCAGGAAGGCATTTCTCCATGTGTTTGTACAAACTGGACATCTAAGTGCTGCCGTGGACCTTGGGAAGAGGCAAAACCAGTGGAATGCCACTGCCTGTGCAGGACAGTTGCATCCCTTGTGCGTGGCTAGCCTGCGTGACAGCTCACTTTGGTGCCTTGAGGCATCTCAAGGTCACTTAATCTGCCCGAATAAGGGAGAGATTGGGTCGAGCGAGAGATCTGCCCCGGCACCAAACTGCCAGCATGCTCATTGATGTTTTCCTTCTCCTTTTGTTTCAGGGGGCAAAGGGGCTTAGCGCCTCTGAAACAAATGGAAAATGAAGACGGTGGCAGGCCAGCCCTTTCCACAACCACATGAGACCAACCAGAGGAAAAAGTGCAGCTGGGGAGAAAAAGCAAAAGAGAATCTGCAAATGGTCTCTAGCTCCTTCCCAGCTGGGAAGGCAGGGACCCAAGGCTGGCTGCGGGTCCCTGGTCCTAGGGTTGTCCCTGTCCTGGCTCCCCCTTGGCTTCAGGAACTGGACCTATTGGTTTTGCAGAATAATGTGTATGAGACTGAAGCTATAATTTATAGGAGGGTAGAAAAGCATCACTCAGGACACCTCGGAGGCAGAAAGACTCTTGCTACCCCATCCCAGCACTCCTGGCCCTCTCAACCCCCGCACCAGCATCCAAATATTCACCCCTGAGACCTGTAGCTGAGGCCCACAGGTGTCTTTTAGTCAACTTCTGCCCTCCAAGCTGTAACATTATAAAGCTCTTTAAGCTTCCATCAGCTTCTTACTGTCTTTCTGCCATTAAGAGTTTTCTCTGAGCAAGTGGAAAGGGCTCTGGTTTGCAGCAGCAAATGCAGGCCGCTGAGGTTAATCTCTAGGCGAACAGGCAGGAGCTAATGGTTAAAATCCTTTGCCACAACTCTCCTGATGGGACAACTTACCCCAAATTTTCCTTACTCCCAGCTGTGGCTGCTCTCTCCCAAAGCTCACAGCTCCTCAGATGCAGCACTAGTGGTAGTGGCAGGAGAGTCCTGGCAGGGAAGGGATCCCAGTGACTCTCTCCAGCCCAGAAGTGTGTGTGCAGGAGTAGCCAGAGCTGGCATGCTGGGCTGAATGGGGTGAGAGCACCTACACCCCATGGTTTGGGTTGGGAGGAACTTTCAAAGATGATCCAGTCCACCCCACTGCCATGGGCATGGACATCTTCCATGAGATCAGGTTGGTCAAAGGCCCATCCAACCTCACCTTCGACACTTCCAATGATGGGACAAGCACAACTTCTCTGGACAACCTCTTCCATTGTCTCATCACCCTCACTGTACAATATTTCTCCCTTATCTCCAATTGAAATCGACCTTCTTTCAGTTTAAAACCACTGCCCCTTTTCTTGTCACTGCAGGCCTTGGTAAAAACATCTTTCTCCATTTTTCATATAAGTCCTCTTGATCTATTGAAAGGTCTCCCATCTCATTGCATCTCTTTAGGATGATCTAGGTAGCCAAGCAACCACCCTGAGCCCTATCCCCTGTGTTCATAGTGAACCCCACTCGTACCATGCTAGGATTTCAGTATTTTCCCCATTTTCATGTAATGTATTCAAAAGTTGTGGTGTGTTTTAAAAGTCATCTCACTGATTGCTGTCCCGCATTCTAATTAATGGAGATCTAGAGGGAACGGGCTAAAGGCAGTGTGGGCACCACGGGGAGGGTAAATGCGACACAGAGCTGACTGTGGGTGGGTTTCCTGCCTTTCTGTAGTTGAATTTGCATGTTTCTTATTAGCTTCAGTGCAGACATGTAAGTCTTGTTGCCAGGCAGACTTCAGAATAAACTGGTTTTATAGTATGCGGATGTGCTTCCTCCTCTGTTTCTCCGGTGTGTGCCTGACATGGTACGTTGGGTACCTCTGGGACATGGAGAGGGCTGGTCCTGGGTCAGACCCATGCTCTTTGCTTTGCAGCTGGTCTGACAACCCCCCATGAACCCACCGTGTGTTTCGCCCCAGCAATGCTGGGGAACTGTGGAGTGTGTGGGATGCTTCCTACACCGTGCCTGGGGTGGCGTTGGGAGCAGACATGGAGTGTTGCTCCTGGTGTTGCAACGTGGGCTCTGGGTTGAGTTTTGCTCTGCAAAACCAGGGCCCTCGGGCTGTGCCAGCGCAGTGTTTTGCTCAGGATTGGCAAGGGCTTTGGGCTCTTCCTGCTGCAGCTCCTGTTCGCAAGAAGAGCCAAAATATGGCCTGGACATGGGCCAAATTGTCTGCTGGTGGAGGTTGCTACGTGTGTACAGAAGCCAACAGGCATCTGTATGCAAAGGGCTATAGTTTTCATAGGGCTTTGGATACACTTGACACAAAATGGTGAATTTTATTCTTTCTTCTGGCAAAAGTGCCCAAGGCATCCATCTGGCACAGCTCAAGGAGACCGGGGTCGCACGGGTCTGTTCCTGCTGAAAGTGCTTCAGTCCTGGCACATGGTAGCACCTCTGCATCGAGCAGCTAAACATCTGCCCTGGCCCTACCTCTAGCCTCTTGAAAACGGGCTACTCTCACTTCATTGCTTCCCTTTCTCCGTTCCCATTCCAGTTCATATTGTTCCTGGGGAAACTGAGGACGCTGACCTCGTCCTGGAAGAAGTCAATGATGACTGGATTAATGAAGCCACATGCGAGATGATGGCCTGGGGTCGTGAGGCTGAGCTGGTAGCAGATGCTCATCCCCTTCCCCCCATACAGGAAGAACCTCAGGAAGAAGAAAACAGGTAGGAGAAGGAAGATGCTGTTGATGAACAGCTCTACATGCCCTCTGACCACCAGCATGGTGGCCATGGGAGGGGATGAGCACATCCCTGGGCATTTCTCTTTGCCAGTGCTGGTGGTGGAGCTGGCACTGGGCAGCCAATGTGCTTGTTTCCAAAGAGAGGGGCACCAAAAGGACCCAAAAGGTGTTTGAGCAAAACCAACCTTTTCTTCTGGTGTTGAGTGGCAGAGCCATGAGTGCAATGCTTCATGGTGCCCTACAGAAGGATGCTCTGCTTAGGCTTCCCCAAAGTAGATTTTTGGCCCTAAAAAAGAGTTTGAACCTCAGTACCATCAACTGCACATCCAGCTGTTATGACACTGGGAAGCAGGAGTCTTTATATAATTCATCCTGCTGCTTCTAATAGAAAGAAGAACCCCTGCTGACACCCTCCAAGGGCTGGGCAATGTGTTCAGAGCTGGGAGTGGGCTGTGTTGCAGCAGGGGGATGAGAGGTGTCCATGCACACTCCCAAAGGGTTTGGGAGTCCTGCAAAATGCTCCCTGTGCCCAGCACATGTGCAGGGGAGGGCGAGCACGGTGGTCCCCAACTCCAACATAGGTGGAATGCACACCACTCAAGTGCACTAAGCCACAAGCAATGCCTGGAGCCGCGTTTGCTCAGCACAGCTCTCTTCTGCTCAGCCAGAAGACACTGGAGATGTTATAAAAATATTTTTCAGATTTTTTTTTCCCTTTAGTATACGAGCCCGAGAAGCTGTGGGCAGCAAGCACATCCTGTCCTGGAGGTTGGATTTCATTTACAAGGAGGTTTTGGTCAAAACCAGCAACAAATGACCTCTAAGCATACCCTCTCCCTGTACTGCAAGGAGAGTTTGAAGGCTGCAGGACTCTGGTTTTGCATTCCCAAACTTCTTCCCGTTCTTCCTCCCACCCGCTTGGGGCCACAGACACTAATGGGCTGTGAAACCAGATGTTGGCTGAGGGGGTAGAGGGAAAACACCTCCAGCCACAGGGTCTGTGGAGATGGTCAGTGCTCCTCTTGTGAGGTCAGCCATACTTTCTGGATTTCACCTAACGAGTTTCTTCTCCCAAGGCTGTGGTTGTGCTCCCTGAGTGCTGCTGAGGAGGAGGAGGAGGAGGAGAAGGAAAAGGAGGAGGAGGGGGAGGAAGAGGAAGAGGAGGAGAAGAAGGAGGAGGAGGAGAGTGCAGGGTGAGTAGCTGCCGTTGTCTTTATGGCTTTGTTGGAAAGGAGTGCAAACACAGTTGTTTCAGCTGCATTCACAAGCTGGAGAGGCTGAAACACCAGCAGAGGAGTGAGCTCCTCTGGGCAGCCGGGGTGCGCCTGGGGAGGGATGCGCTTGGGCAGGGATGGGCTTGGGGAAGGATGGGCTTGAGGAAGGATGCTTTTGCAAACCAGCTCAGCCCAGGGCTCACTGCTGACGCAGCACGTGGTGACAGGCGAGTGTCTCCTGGAGACACAGGCTCCATCTCCATCGCAGCCACCCGTGGCAGCCGCAGCCCCTGGCCGTCCCCTCCCGCGGGGGCTGGCGGCTCGGTTGAGCAGGAGCCGTGGCTTGTGCCTGGGAGCAGCCAGCCCCTGGGGATGGTCCATGTTATTTAAAACCTTCTCGAATAACTCAGGGCGGTTGGGATTATTATGAGTGTTACAGTGCTGAATTTAAAGACAGGATTATGTGCTGTACCTGCAAATGCTACTTAATACAAGTAGGTAGAATTTTACCTATTTTTTTCTTGTTATAGAAAATAGTTGAGTTATTGTCAACTGTTGTGGATGGTGACTTTGGTCTAGATTGTATTTAGAAAAACCTTTCTGCTTTAGTGGTTTGCTCTGATTTCACGTGAGATAAACGTTTCGGGATTTATTACCTAGTGCTAAAATATTATCCTCTGTTAATTCCTCTGAAGTAGCTAGATTTTCAGGAAGAAGCTGAAAATGTGTGATTATTCAGTATTAAAACCGTATCTTTTTATTTTATCAAAATCTGTTCCTGGGGCTTCACTATAGAAACTTGAACTTCAGTTGTAGGGTGAACGAGATGCTGTTTCATCCTTCGATACATTTCTCTGTTTATGGGAAAAGAGAGGCAGCAACAAGTTTTCTGTTTAGGTTAGGATGAAAAGACTTGTGATTGTATTTGAAGGGAGCCTAATTTAAAAAAAAAAAAAGAGTGGAAAATTATTAAAAAGAATTTTAAAAATACTTTGGAAAATAACAGTTTTTCAGGGCATGGCGTAAAAGAGAAAAAGTATCCCCTGCTTGTTACATACATCTTCTGACTTAGGACCTGCCGAGAATGCAGAGAGATGTTTTTTTCAATTTTCATGCATTTTGCTGCCATAACATTTTTTCATTATTCCAAGTCCTCACTTTGTGCCTCTCACCAGGAAAGAGAAAACTAGAAGATAAGTGCAAAGAATGACATGATGAGACTGTTGTTTTTCAGTTTAAAGTTATATAAAACCAGTAAAATCTATTTTGCGAGCCTCATTTTTCAGAATGGTGGAACTGGGATCTGTGCGACTGCTAAAGGAAAATGACAATTATGTGTCCTGGTGGTGTCCTGCACAGGCAAAGTGGAATTCGGGTGGTGCTTGTGGGACAGCCCTGCCTGGAAATAAGGGTCTCGGCTTTTTATTTGGCAAATTTTTTATCGATGAGAAATTCTTATGCACAGCAGGAGAAATGTGCTGCCTGCACTTTCTGCATATGTAACTTTTGCTTATGCATACGCAGTACCCTGCATTATTTAAGCACCTCTCACCTTGTCTCCCATGTAGGATTTTTTCCAACTCCCTTCTAAGCCAAGCAGCACCACTACTGAATTTCGGTAGTATTGCCCACCTGCCAAGGGCATTTGTGATGCAGTTGGAGGAGCAGTGCTCCCTGAAACTGGGAGAGCTGTGCATCATTCCTGTTGACGTGATGCCCCCACATTGACATGATGCATCCTCTGTTGATGTGATGCAGTCCCATTGATGTGATGCCATCCCGGTTGACGTAATGCCCCCTCCATTGACATGATGTCCTCCCTCTTGACTTGCTGCATCCCCCATCGACATGGTGCCCATCCCGTTGATGTAATATGTCCCCCGTTGATGTGACGCCATCCCCATTGATGTGATACGTCCCCCGTTGACATCCGCAACGTGTTCAACCTCAGAAAGGGCAAAAGTGAGCTCAGGCACTTGTCTCTGCTTGATCTGTACCACGCAGGCTCCTGCTCCATTCGCCTTGTCTCACCACTGATGAGGGTGTGGATGAAGTCTACTTTGCAGAGGAGGCCCTTAGGTTTGAGCAGCTGGAGGAAGCTGAGATAAGTGATCTTGAAGGTGCTTTTGTACAGGTATGTCACCACTCCCTGCTTCGGTTCACGTCTGCAATGAGCTCTTGCTGCCCAGCGCATGCTGGGGGCTCAGAGCTTGCCCAGGGGGATGCAGTGCCCTGGCAAGGAACAAGGACTGATAAGAGCTTGGGGAATGTTGCCCACTGAGATGTCTCCATCTCTGAACATGAGACAGCAGCAGTAACTCTGCAACACAGGAAAGGTGCTCAACGCTGGGACTGAACAACGAGCTGAGAGGCTGGGGAATGGTTGGGGGATACAGGGCACCCAATCAAACTGAAAAGTCTGCTCTTTTACTGACAGAGTGGGTCTTCTTCTCCTTAAAATGGCTTTTTTGATTTTGAAGGTGGAAGAGGCGACAGCTGAAGCTGCTGAAACCGATGCCGAAGGTATAACATACGGCAGGGTAACACTGCATGAAGATGAACCAAAGCAGGCAATGCCATGCCCAGCTTCTCCCTCCCTGCTGCTTGCTCTCTGGGGGTGGGCAGTGGCATTTTCTGCAGCGTGGGCAGTCAGGGCTTTTCGCTGCCTTAAAGCATCCCGTGGGCACAGCCCGATGGCAATATTGTCATCAGCTGGAGCCAGCTTTGGGAGGCTGGTGCTTACGCAGTACTGAGCCTTGTTGATTAAGCAATCTCTGATGTGAAATAAGAGTTCCTCCCTCTGCTGAAGAATGTAGGGGGGACAAAAAGGATTTTCTCTACACTTTTCTCAAATTGGGAAATAACCACTGGCATAAAGTGCATTTTAATGTAACCATTGAGGAGAAAACTGGTTAGTAATAAAACTCAGGTGGTGAGCTCCTATTGCAGACTGATTGAGCAAAGGCAGTTCCTGGCATAAGGGCCTGTTGAGATAGGACAAGGGGTAATGGCTTTAAACTAAAAGAAGGAAGACTTAGCCTAGTTATAAGGAAATTTTTTTTTTATGCCAGGGTGGTGAGACACTGCCCCAGGTTGCCCAGAGAGGTGGTGGATGCCCCATCCCTGTAAACATTCCAGCCCAGCTTGGGCAGGGCTCTGAGCAACCTGGTCTGGTTGAAGATGTCCCTGCTCATGGCAGGGGGTTGGACCAGGTGGGCTTTAAAAGTCCCTTCCCACCCAAACTATTCTGTGGTTCAATGATAACTCCATCGATGTTGGGGAAGTTGCACAAGAGATGGCTTGACCTGACCCCTGGTACAGACTGCAGGTTCCTCTGCTCACGCAGCCCTGCAGAGCATCCTGATCTCACAGCGATGCTAGAAAAGTGTGTGATAGGATGCTCACCACTGCTGCTACCACCATCTGTGAGCGGCGGGCAGCAGCAAAACCCCCAGCAGCCCTGCATTTCTCTGTGCTGACACAGTCGTCCTGTCTCAAACCACTCTCTTTTATTGCAGTTTCAGATCCTTGTCCTTTGCTTGAAGCATCTAGGCGCCTAGCAGCATGTCCAAGCATACCCGAGACGTCGAGCTAGATCGGCTGGTGCATGACAAGCTGCCCGATGGTGGGGACGCCTCCCCTCCGGGCTGTGGGGCACTAGAGCAGCTCCCCAATGTCCCCAGCTACCGAGCCACCGCTGCCTCCCGAATCCCTGTCCTTGTTGCCAGCAAGCCAAAGGCTGGAGTTGTCAACCCCAATTTTTGCAATGAGGAGCAATCCCCCTTAGGTATTAGAGATGTTGGCTTTGACCACGGGCTTGTGTAGCTTGAGAGGGACAAGGAGTTATTCCTGGAGTAGTTGCTTTTTGTTGCTTTTTTTGGGAAAAAATAAATAAAAGCCTGTTTCATGTTGCAGCACAGAGGCTGGGAAAAAAAAATTCCTGTCTTTTTCTGCTCTCACCTCATCACTATGTGCCTTTCTAGCTAATGCCTAGAGAGTGTTTGCCAATAGCTGTAAATGACGAGCTATATGTTTTGACTTGCTTGGCCAAAATCTTTCCCAAAGGACCTGCAGGCAGAGGGTTAAATATCCAGCACGCATGCAATTTTCTCCTTAGCATTCATGTAACCCATTCATACTAAGAGGATGGTAAGATGGAGATTTGCTGTTCACGGGTTTCTGCCTTTTAACCCAGAAGGACAAATTATGTTTCTGTAGCTTTGCTTTGCTGTGCTTTTTACCGGTGAGGCAAATTTTGCTGCTTTCCCTTACACCCCGTGGGATTTTAACTTTGCAACTCAAACAGGCCTTTTCTCAGTGACTTGATTGAGCCAGACTCTGACTCACGGGTTCCACATCAACATGGGATGGGAGGGGATGCACAGGGTCCTTCAGATGTGTGAAAAACCTCCCTTAGAAGAAATCCTGCAGGAAGTCATTGTGGTTTGTTGTATAGCCAAGAAACAGGATGGCACTTCACAGCTCTGCCGGCTGCGGGGTCCAGCTGACCCCCAGCACCATTTCTCCTGTGGGTAATGGGCATCTCTCCTTACCTACTACAAACATCCAACTTCCCAGCTCCTAAAATTTAGTCTCTGCAAAAGAGAGAGGCTGTTAATCCATACTTAAATAGTGCCTTGTTCTGCATGAAAAGCAAATGCTCATGTAATTTGGAGCTTGCACGATCCGTATGTTTATGTTCAGAAGACCCAGGAGATTTTCTAGACCCTGTGAGGCAGGTTTGCAGCTGGAAATCCTGGATTCCAGCGTAACACCTGCAACTGGTAATCCTGATTTCCATCGTTTTCTGACACTGGCATGGAGTAGGTGCAATCACTGCAAGCTGGGGAAGCAGAAGGGAAGCAGGTGGCACTTCTTATAGTGTTAAAAACTGGGCAAAAAAGAAAAAGAGATGATCCAAACTGTGAGGAGAAAGGAGTGTTGGGTGAGAAGGGGATGGAGGGAAAAGGGCACTTCTTGCAGCACCCTGCAAGGTTTTGGGGGCAGCTCCGCGGAGACGATGGGCGTGGGGGATTCATCCTGGCTGCACCCCTCTCACTGCAATTATTGTCTTCTCCACGGCCCAGGCAATTACCCCACTGTGGACATCAGGGATGTGGACAGCGGAGGCAATGCTGTGGAGAGCAACGGTACCCACTTACCAGTGCCCACCGCCAGCAGTCCCAAAATGCTGGCAGTGCCTGGCACGGTGCTGGCATCCCCCAGGTACGGCTCTGCCCTGGCGTGGTCCCCAGCTCCTGTGGGTCAGAGCCAGATGGTGTCCCCAGAACCTTCCCGTTTTCCCAGGCCTCACTTTCTTGTGCCACCTTACTGGTATTGCATTTTTCTTGCCCGTCTCTCGAAGTGTGGTGGTGTGATGGTGTGGCACCGGGGACAAGCACGGACCTGGGCTCACCCTCTGTGCATCTTGCCAGGTGCCCAAAAGAGTTGCAAGATGGGCTGGGTGGCTGCACGGGCATGAAGCCCATGGCTCGGTGGTGCCCAGGAAGAAACAGGGCTTTAGCAGCAAAACAGCAGGGTAGTTTGCTCCCATTGACTTCAGACAACACCAAAAATTAGGGGGAAACTGACCGTGGTAGAGAAGGGGAGATGCAAACAGATGAGACCTGGGAAGAGGAGGAGGAGGAGGAGGGAGAGGAGGAGGAGGGGGAGGAAGAGAAAGAGGAGCTGACTGAGGATGGAGGACAAGTCAAGCCTGGTTGTTGTGTTTGCCCCCACAGGAGAAAGCTGCCGGCCCCGGAGGATGGCCTGGAGGAGGGACTGGTGAACCAGTCCCCCACCCGAGCGCTACTGGGCTGGGAGGAGCAGCAGAAGGAAAGGTACGTGGTGCAACCAAGAGGCTCCAGATCAGCCAAGCTCCCAGGGGTTCAGAAACTTGGGTGGAAACAACAAAGATCCTAGAAGTGCTCAGATACCAAAGGGAGAGGTAGCCATGCCCGCAGTAGGTCTAGAGCTGTGTAACAAGTAACTCACCCCTTCTCCAAAAATAACAATCGTGATGCTTCCTGGGACAGAAACTGCTCTCTTGTTTTTCCCATATCCAGGTAGAAATATTCTTCTTAAGATTAGATTTAACCACAGAGAAGATGCACCTTTGATCTACATATGTTATAGGAATATGGGGACACCTTTTTTTAACTGATTGCAGAGAAATTAACTTTTTGTTCCATGTTGGAAGCCAGCAGAAGCTGTGCATCACGCAGCTCTGGTCCTGGCTTCCCTGCAGCCCCAGGAGACAGCCTCAGAAGGACCTGCCCTCCCTGGGAAGCAAAGTCTTGCTTTTTTCTGTCCTCCCTTCTAGTGATGCTCTTAGTCACGCTGGGTAAAGCATCCTGGGCTGAATCCAACCTAGTTTTAATAAAGAGGCTGAAAAGAGATGCCATAGTTCATAAATTCAGGGACTTGGTGCACATTTTCACCCCATAGTTCTTCTAAAATCTTCTTCTCTCAAGCATCTAAAATCTAGCCTGAGATCTTGGTGTTTCCCAAGTCCCTCTGAGGGCACCTCACGCCTCAGGGCAAGGATGAGGCTGGTGCTGCTTCATGGTGTTTTACTGAAACCACCTTAATTTGTGTTGTTCTGATGACACAATAGCCAAATAAATATGGGTAAATCCTAATTCAGGATCCAGTAAGTTAAAAAAAGGATCATGAAACTGCACTTGGGCTTGCCTACCTGCATGAAAAGCCTGATGGTCTCCTTGCAGCCTGCCCGAGCGCATCGGCTCAGCCACGAGCCTGAGCAGTGCCATCATCAACAACCGGCTCCAGGAGCTGGTGAAGCTCTTCAAAGAGAGGACCGAGAAGGTGAAGGAGAAGCTGACCGACCCTGATGTCACCTCGGACGACGAGAGCCCTACAGCATGTGAGTTTGAGCGGGGCTGGGAGTGTTTAACTGACGGGTCAACACACACGCCATTTTTTCAGGGAGATAGCTGCTTTATTAATAATTTAAAGACCTTAAGATTTTCAGTCCTTTTAAAATAACTGTGTGGTCTCTCCCAGCCCCTGCTAAGCCAGCACCTGCGGCAGCACCTGTGCCTCCCCCAGGAGGGGAGCAGGAGGGGGACAAGCCAGCAGGGGACGAGCACTACTGTGAGATGCTGTGCTGTGTGTTCAAGTACCAGCCCTGGATGGACCGTCTGAAAAACTACCAGTTCCCCAGCAGCATCGACCCACTCACCAGTGAGTGATGGAGCACAGCCATGCACCCAGGTTTGGGGCAAGCTGGGAGGGGGAAGAGGGGGTGAGGAAGGGAGGAGGTGTAAAAGATGAGACCTCGTAGAAAAGGGAGGACAATCAAGCAAGGAGCAATTTATCTTACAGCTGTCTACTAAACCGCAGAGTTTTAAATTCCCCTGCAAGGCACAGGATTTCCAAAATGCTTTGCTATGGCTGTAGGTATTAGGAGCACGAGAAGTCAGGGAAGGGGCAGCCACCTTCTGCTTTTCAGGCTTTTTAGTGGGCAAATGCTGCCCCTGTGGTGTGAACACGCCAAATAAAAATCAAAATCACAAATTAAATATCCCCTGTCCTGGGGACACCCCGTAGGAACACAACTCCTTCCTTAGTCTGCTGTTTCCCAGCCTTTTCAAGGCCCAGGGGCTCAGGCAGCCAGCCCCTGGCTCAGCACAGCCTAAAGGGAAGATAGCCAAGCAAGAAATTTGGCATTGTGGGAGCCAAGCAAAAGCAAACCTAGTTGAACCAGCAAAGTTAGAAGAGGGTTTCTGATTAAAAGCAATGTGCTCTGCAACCAGTGGTATTCACTTTGCATCTAGAGCCCAGCTCACTTGCAATTAAATGCTGTTGATCAGAGACCTCCTGCAGGTTTCTTCCTTGCATGCAGGGCAGGGGATGAAAGCCCCTTTGCGTAGTGGATTCATGAGGACAAGGGGCATGTGCCCAGCTAATAGTGATGTGGTTCTCTGTGTGCAGACCTGATGTATGTTCTGTGGCTGTTCTTCGTTGTGATGGCCTGGAACTGGAACTGCTGGTTGATCCCCGTCCGCTGGGCTTTCCCGTACCAGACACCATCAAATATCCACTGCTGGCTGGCCGTGGACTACCTCTGCGACCTCATCTATCTGCTGGATATCCTTGTCTTTCAGACCCGGTTGCAGTTTGTCCAGGGGGGAGACATAATTGTGAGTGGCAGCACGCACATCCCACCACTGGGGATCAGCTGCAGGGACCTCCCATGCCCATCACCCCGAGTGACATGGTCACCAATTTCTGAATTTGAGCTCTCCAAGCTCTCCCACCACCGCTGTGGCCATCAGGGATGTGCCCACTTTTGGAGGACTGCAATCATCTCTCCTGCCATGTAGTGGATAAGTCTTTTTGTCCACCAAACATATGTATTTTTCCCCTAAAGTCAATACCAGCCCATCTAGAAAACATGTGGTCCATGGTGGCCCCATTTCTGGGTAGGAGGGTCCATGGGGCAGTGCTGCCAGCAGTGCAGTGGGGACCATCCCCAGCACAGCCATACACTGCAAATTGAGAGCAGGTGGCATAATAAACTGGGTTTAATTTTCAGGAGCACAGAATGCATTCACGATATGACAAAAGCCATTGTAATCTGAATGCATAGATCACGTGCCTGAGATAAGTGAAAGCCCTTGATTTCGTTTCCATATCCAATTAAGTAAGTTGTGAAAAATAAAACCTCGAGGGTACAGCCTTCCTATGGCTCATGCAAATGCTCAGACAAGTAGGTTTCTTCTGTAAACTCTGACTTTTGTGGTGCTGGCAGCATGACGCAAAATGAGCACAGAATGTCCCGGAATGGGATAGAAAGATGACACTTGGCCAGGTAGTCTTCTGCCCCTTTTGCTCTGCTCCCCTTCCCAGGCACAAAGGGAGCGTTTTCCCTGTTGTGGTGCAGAAGAGGAAAGCCAGGCATGACCATGTTGGCCATGATTTTCCCTTCTGCAAGCAATGATCAGTCTTCATCTCTCTCCCTCCCTGTTCCCAACCAGACTGATAAAAAGGCCATGAAAGAGAACTACCTGCGATCACAGCGCTTTAAGGTTTGACATAATTTTATTTGTTAATTGGAATCTTTAATCTGAACAGTGCTTTGCAGCTCCACCCCACCATGCCTGCAGGTCCCACAGAGGATTCTGTCTTTGTGCGTATTTCTTTCAGATGGATGTGGTGTGCCTCCTGCCCCTGGATTTCTTCTACTTCAAAGTCGGTGTCAACCCGCTCCTGCGCTTTCCTCGCTGTCTGAAGGTGAGTCGGTGCTTGTAAAACCAGGCAGAACACCACGTGTAATGGATACGAAGGAGTCCCATGCTGCCTGGGGTAAGCTATGGCTTGCCAGACTCACCAGTGGTGGCAAGAGGATTGTAAAATGAATAGGAAGTCTTGTCCTGAAGGCTTTGTGGGGCTGTTGGTCAAAGATTTCATTTAAATCGTAAAACACACTCACATTTGAATAGAAGGGCACTTAGAGATGGGGCCAAACCTCTACGTAGCAGTTCATGTTGTGGAGGGGCTGTAGGAGGGAAACAGAAGGGGAGTGGGGTTTTATGGGGACATAACTCTCCTGGTGGGGGCTGCAGGAAGCTGGAGCACGCTGCCTTCCTTCTCCTCCCAGTACATGGCCTTCTTCGAGTTCAACAACCGCCTGGAGGCCATCCTGAGCAAGGCGTACATCTACAGGTGAGGGGGAGGGAGGGATGGAGCCTAGAGTTGCTGTTTGTGACAGGGGAAGAAGGTTCGCTTTGGCATGTGCCCGTTCTGGGTTTCTATTTTCCCCCTGTTCCCAAGCCAGCTGATGGGGGTGTTGGCTGATGCAGGCAGGATGTGGGGATCCTGGAGTCTGTGTGGGTAGAATCACCTCTCCCCAACCCAGCGGGGACATGGGTCCTGGTGATGAAGAGGAGCCACCAGTGGCTAAGCTGATTTTTCTGGCACTTCTGGAGGTGCAGGGCTGTGGGAGGGAGCAGTGGGGATGCACGTTGGGGTGCTCTGTGGTTCCTGCATTGGCAGGACCTACACTGTCTGCACCCAGCTCATCATCAAGTTCCTTGTGATGCCAATACAATTGGACGTGATGTAATCTGATGTGTTTCTCCCAGCACACATCATATCATCTCCCATCATATCATCTCCCCTCCTGCTCTCTCCATATTTATTTTTTTTTTGCAGAGTGATTCGGACGACTGCCTATTTACTGTACAGCTTGCATGTCAACTCCTGCCTCTACTACTGGGCATCAGCCTATGAGGGACTGGGCTCTACCACCTGGGTCTACGATGGGGAAGGAAACAGGTACAATCCAGGGCTTGGGTCCTCGCATAGCACAGCTTGCTGTGATGAGAGGCAGCAAGAAGGGAGGTGTTAGGAGGCAGCTGGGTTCATAAAAACCCCTGAAGCGAAGGGTTGGGGGGTGCCAGGAGAAGATGCAGATCCAGGGAGAACGACAGGGACAGAATGGATGGGATGTGCACTAATAAACAGTGTCACAAGTCATAGTGGCTGTAACTGGGCTGAGGTGGAAGGCAGTGGCAGGTCAAAGAGGCTGAAAAACTGGGAGCCTGGAGCTGGGCAACTCAGGTTGGGAGACAGAGGCAGTGGCCACCCGGTCTCCTTCTCGCAGTGGTGACTCCAAGACACACGTGTTCAATGTTTGTTGTGATGGATGCCGCAGGGGGAGCACTCCGCTTGCAAACTGAAAGCAGCCTAGTGGCCAATGCCCACAACCATGAGTTGTACAACACAGGCAAAATAAAACACTAAGTAATATTTGACTAATTTAGCACCGTGCAATAAATGAGTTTCCTGGAAAAAAAAATAAAATGGGATGGGTAAGGGTATTAAAGAGACAAGTGACTGTCACCTACGCAGCCTTAGTGCTGCTCTTGCCTTCCCTTTGAGTACTCGGCTTCCCATGTTAATGTTGCCACTATCTAGTTATTTTGCATGATATACCTATCTGTAGGTGTAACTATAACATCCAAGGGAGTGCCCAAGAGCAGTGAATCAAGAATTCACTTGACATCTCTTGAGTCTTATGCCACCAATTTGCCGACAAACCTTTTTTTCCCCCTGATTATTTCTAAAAGTGTAAATGTGGCCAAAAATACAACTCTGGTGTATAGCAGTGGGGCCAAAAGACGCAAAAAATGAGAGTAGCCAGAGCAACTGAGCTCTGTGGAGGTTTCTAGAGGGTCCCTATGTCCTGCTCCTGTAACATCTCCAGAAGCACCTGCAGATGTGGTGGGGAGGCTGCATGCCCTTAATTTTCCTATAATTACTCTCAGCTGGCTCTGGCTTGCCATGGCCAGAGGATGTGAGCTCGGTACCTAGGGATGAAACAGTCCTTCATGCCTGAAATGCCTTCAAATCTGCTTTCTCTTTTCCTCCCAGCTACATCCGCTGCTACTACTGGGCAGTCAAAACCCTCATCACCATTGGGGGCCTGCCGGACCCCAAGACACTGTTTGAGATCATCTTCCAGCTGTTGAACTACTTCACGGGCGTCTTTGCTTTCTCCGTCATGATAGGGCAGGTGAGGGGGAGTGGCGTGGGATTCCCAGCCTCAGGTAGGGAAGGTTTTGTGGGGTTTTGTCCACAGGTTTGTATGTCCAGGTTTGTTTTCCCCATGCAAGGACCTTCTCAGCATCAGCAGAAGACAAAAAGCATTTGGTAGATGCTGTTAGGACTCAGCATACATACTCTAGACTGCTTAACCTCCACGATGGATAAGTGACAGCGATTAAAACATCTCTTCCACCCCTTCCTCCCATTCAGATGAGAGATGTGGTTGGCGCGGCTACAGCAGGGCAAACTTACTATCGGAGCTGCATGGACAGTACCATTAAATACATGAACTTCTACAAAATTCCCAAAACTGTTCAGAACCGGGTGAAAACGTGGTATGAGTACACGTGGCATTCGCAAGGCATGCTAGGTGAGATCCAACGGCTCCAAAGGTCAACACTTGCACCTCATGTTTTACTGTGGCTGTTTTGCAGAGCAGATAGGTTACTGTCAAATGGGACTGCATTTTCCG